AGTGAGATGGAGCCCCTCCACGGGGCTTGGCTGGACTCTGCAGTCTGGTCCCACCTTTCCACCCCGACCACGTTCTCTGGGACCGTCTCCTAGGAGACGTTTCACACAAGCCCACGGACCACTGACGGTGGGCTCGGGCAGCCGTCCACACGCGGGAGCAGGAGGCTCGGCTGCTGGGCCACAGCCGACGGGAGCAAGGACAAGAGTCGGACCCGAAGCAGCCTGTCAGGAGGATGGCTGGCCGAGGACGCCCGCCCCACGGGACTGGTCCTGGCGGTCAGCGGGTTACCCCTGTCATTTTATCTGCTCTTGCTCAGTTCAAATGGCAGACAACACAGCTGGTTTGGTGACCCCGGGAAAAGCAGAAGGAGCAACGGAGAGCAGGCATCTCACCAAAAGCGTTAGACTGGTGGCCACTGGTCAGTGGGGCCATGGGCCCGCCTTCCGTTGTTCGGGATTGTTTTGTGCTGCGTGGCCTCGGACCTGCCTGTGCTCCAGTCAGCTGAGGGCTGGCTGAGGGGAGGCTGAAGTTATTCTGTCCTGGTCATCTCTATACAGTCCTCCTCCCCACCCCCTGCCCCTCGGCCGCCACGACCATGTTCTTTGCAAACTGAAAAAGCTTAAACAGGTACAAAGAAGAAGGTGAAAAAAAAATCCCACACCAAGTCCTAGAAATCAGAAACAGTTCCACAGCCCTGATTCGCATTTTTTAAAACGTACATACCTACGTGTACGTATTTCACAAAGTTGGGGTTGTATGTTGCTTCCCATGAGCATTTCTCACACCCTGAAATACTCCCTCAGAGCAGGTCTGGGGTGCTGTTCCCTCACAGGGTGAAGCATCACTTACTGAGCCGCTGTGAGCGCCGCCGCGCTGTCCGCTCTCACACGCGGGCCTGAGTGCTCACCTCTGAGTGGTGCGGTGGCCGGTCGGGAGGTGCTTGTGTCCAGCGAGCCTCCGTATGGCTGAGCCCACGGTTCCCACACAGGGCTGCACACCGGGGTCCCTTGGGGCCCATCTCAGAGGTTGTGATTCGAGGGCCCTGGGGGTGGTCCGGGCTTGGCGTTTTATGAGTTTTAAGGAGGCTCCCAGGTGACGCTGTTAGGAGCGTGACCACTGTGCTGCATTGTTTTGCAGGCCATTTAGCTTTAGGTGGGAGAGTCTCTGATGACAGGAGACCACCCCTCCCCACTCTGTCCGTTCCCAGTAGCACGCACTTAAGCCTTTAGCCCGTGTCCAGCCTCCTCAATGGGCCAGCGGCAAGACCTGGATGCATTTCAGACTTCTCTGAGCATCCTGCTTCCTGTCAGAGGGGTCACTGTTGACTTTGAGCTGGGGGTGTGCTAGTCAGGACCGCTCCCCTGGACAGCTCTAGGGGGTGCACCTTGGGTTTTGAGGAGCTCAAACCTCAGGTCACCATCTGCAAACTTGGCCCAAAAACCTAAGCCTTGGAGATCTTGCCAGGCAACTTTAACTCAACTTTTGATCACAAATTGAGTTGTTTTTTTTTTTAACAAGACACATGCAGCTTTATTTCATAATCTGTAAAAAGTTGCACTCTGGCTGAGTGACGCATTCCCTGTCTGAGCAGAAAGCGAACGCTACGCCTGGAAAGCCCCTTGCTAAGGTCAGACTGTGTCACCCTGAGCTGATGTCTCGATGCCCTCAAAGCTGCGCCTTCTACTGTGTGGCAGTTGCTTTCACCCTCCTCCCGGCGACACTCTCTGGGTGGCTGTGAGCCCCTCACACAGCAGCAGACTGAGCACAATTCACCCTGGACAGGCTGCCCTTACAGATTGGCCCCTTCCCTCCTACTAAAGAGAGTTCACAGCAGTAAGAATCCTTCTGAGAAATGGGTTCTATCGCAATTTCATTTTTTGCCCATTAAGTCTGCCAAAATCAAGGCTAAACTTGGCAAACATGATATTGTGTTAACGTCTGCTCCTCTCTCTCCAGCCATTTCCTCATTATCTGCATTAGTTTTCAGGCCCCACCTCTCCCTTTGAGGGGATCGAGGGATGGAGAAGCACTCTTCGTCTCAGCCCTGGAGGCTCTGAGGACATCTGGAATGAGGTATCAGACGCTGCAGAGATAGCAGTTGTGCACAGAAGAGCAGAGGACCGAAATTTTGTTTCTCACCTTCCTGTGCTAAGAGAGTCCAGTAGTTAAGCCGCATTCACTCCTTGGGAAAAACTCCACACTGCACCAGGACCTCATCGTTCGAGGGCTTCTAACAGAACATACCCCTCCCCTTTATTTATAAACCAGTGTACGTGAATTCATTTGGAAGGAGAAGGCGGCTGGCCACCCTGCCTGCTTCTCTGTGTAACAGGCTCCCCTCTATTGGTCACAGCCCGTCCACAGTCCAAACAGTAAGTATGATCTTCCACATTCCTCAGAGCTGCTCTCTC